AGTCCAACGAGGATGATCAGGAGTAGAGGAGGGGTTGCCTAGGCTTGAAGAAGTCGGCAAGTGTCGTAGAAGAGTTCAACCTAATGTTAGGAAGCGATGTCCTAACTAGTCGTCTTGAGATAACTGGGCCACGTGCCAACAGTTATGTCGTCACTACCTCAGTAAGCGTACTGAAAGGTAGGTCTGGCCGGGCCAATGCCAACGGTCAAGTCAAGAGTCCAGGTAATCGCTGTATTCAACAGGAGGTTGAACTAGGGAATACATGGGTTTTCCTACAGTATATATAGTAACTGGTATAGGGGTTAATACCCAAAGAAGAGAACAATAAGAAAGGACGCGTAAGCTATCCTGTGAGAATGTAACTTAGAGAAATGAGAAATACAAGGGCGCCCATTGGTAGAAGGTGAGTCAGGGGAGATAACGTGTGGGAAGAAGATAGCGTCCATGGGAAGTTCTACTCAGAGAAAGGTACTGTCCAATAGCAATGCTCGGAATGGAAATGGAATGAGATAAGCATGGGAAAATCATAACAGACAACCAAGGTTGCTGGATAATGGCATGGGTTGCTGAGGGGTTGTTGCTCTCAGGGGGGTTGTTGATTAAAATTATCCCTCAACAGGTGGTTCGCTTATCATAAATACAAGTCTGGTATTCGGCTGGTAATGTGATTGTAGATGTGCTAAAATAACTGGAATATGCACCAGCCACTGTCAGCCGCGGGACAATTTGTTGATGTCCTCTCTCCATCTCAGTCTAGCGTAGAGTGGCCCATCGAGCCTCTGTTTTCTGTCCCACCCTCCCACCTCATCCCTGTTTCAGTTTCTCTTTGCCTTTTCTGTTGCTCTCCCTGTATCTAGTTTTGTTTGTGCAGTTTTCTCGCCAGCTCGGGTTCCGGCCCGAGAGCGATCACTGCAAGGGGGGCTGTATCCATCCCCCTTCCCACACTCCAATATATCTGTCTCCACATAGCCTCAGCATTCCTTGTCAATGGAAGTCTCGAGTCTTCGCGGAAACAACCTGTGACATCAGTCACGCTCGCAGACTGGTACGAACACTCGGTACGCCGGGTACGGAGACAAATTTCGAATATTCGGACATTTTGTATTGTCAGGATGGGGCGAAGTGCCAAGTTGCACAAGCGGGTGGTACGCACTGGCAGATGAACGTGGAATAAGTTGATGTCGACTGACGTTACTGCCCAACAGGATAAGAAAAAGACTGGCCAAACAAAATCAACTGCAGCGGCCCCTGTGAAGGTAGAGCCCGCCGTTACTGCTGCATTCTCTCGCAAGAAGGCGAACCTAAAGGACAAAGCTGGTAAACGCAAGAGCTCTGATGGGCCTGTACTGGGAGGTGCGGACTATGTCGATCTGATGATGGGAGGGAGAAGGAAAGCCAAAGTGGAAGCCGCGAAATTGCCCAAGGATGACTGAGGCACGGAGGCAACACGGAGCGCCCACATATAAAATACTAGCTTGTAAGCCGTCATTGTCCTGCCGTATCTCTGATGCTGCATGTGAACGACCATATAGGTTCCGGTCCGCTTTTCCGTTGGTACGACGAGAGTATGCCTCATACACGGACCCCCGGTGCCGTGAAGGCTCGCATTGCTTTGCCAGAGCTATGAGCTACTGTCTGCATTGTCCTTTATGATGGTACGAAGTTGCACTGCTGACGGTTGGAGTTACTGATGAGTTGGACATAATATCATCGCAGGGACCAGTAAATCATCTCCCCAGCTCCAATATGCCCTGATTACACGACGTGTACTTGCCCATGCATTGATCTATCAACTGCCGTCGCTTCCCAGAGAAGCGTGACTGTCCCCCACAATTCCTTGCAATATGATGAAATTTTCGGGAGCTGATCTCTGCGGGGAAGACTTGCACTATCGCATGACGAGCAGTACTCCTCCATAGTTATGTCAGTTCTTTCAATCTAATGTGCCCGAGTGGTGATCACTATACAAGTGCAATGTACGGCCTAAAATACAGTGATATGGTACCAACGAAGCAAAGGGACTTCCAGCCTTATCAAAAGGGATACAGTCAAAGCATCAACCTATCCTACAGAAATGAAGATCAGATGATAAATTATCCGCAAGCGAGCAACGGAGGCACAACAACGCCGGGGGAAGAAGAGTGTTCGGTTATGCGACAAGCTACAGGGCTGTGCCTGAGTACGACGTCCGGGCACCCTCGTCTGCTAGTTTAGCTCTAGAAGGCGGCATCATCCAAGGACTGGCTGCACTCATCCTTGTGTAATTGGATGCAGGTGTATAGGGCACGTCTACCGCTGACTGACCACCCGACGTCGAGGCGAGTGAATACGCAGGCGACCGCGGAACGTTCAATAGCTTCGTATCCTTGCGGGGCGGCGAATCAAGCTTGAGTGCCGGCGGAGGCGGAGAGGGCGCTTTCCTCGGCGAGAGGGCAACCTCCTCCTGCTCTCGCTCCCCGCGCTGGCGATCCTCCTCGTATATGGTCGCACGAGCCAGGATCTGTTCGATATCGAGCGAGCGCAGTGTCTGCACACTGGGCCGCCGCTTGCTCCTCTGGCTCGGGGTCGGGGCGAGGGACCTGACGCCTGCGGATTGCAGAGGAGGCCAAGTCCCGCTGTTGGCGGTGGGGCCCGTCTCCGCGACAGCGTACTGGATAAACTCAGGGGACGTGGGTGACTTGTCGAATCGCGCAGTCACGTAGATGGGGTTTTTGCGGGGGACGTTGGACGTTTCGATAGACGATGGACGACCGTGTGATTTATCGGTGGATAATGGACGCGGCAGGACTGTTGTTTCCCATCCGTCCAACTCTCCAGGCTTCTCGTAGCGAGACTGCCGCTCTACATCTGCTTGAGCCCTCAATGCACGTCGCCGCTTGCGCTCGCGGTACACGTACAGACCCATCAGGATGAGAACGCCTGCGACGAGCGCCACAGAAACCACGGTTATCGCAATAATTGCACCCCTATATTGCAAGATAAGTCCAACTAACAGCAAGATATCGAGATCTCACTCCTTACTTGGATAGCTTGACTGACGTTGTCGGCTCTGTAGTCATCATCTGCGAACTATTCATCGCGTTTGTCGTATTCGACGAGATCTGTGTAACGTTGACGTGGATACACTTCGCAGAGCTAGTGCTGTCTCCCAGAACCGACTGGATGGCCGTTGTTTGCCGATGGCCCTTCCCGTCGTCCATGAGCAGCGCGATCTGGAGCCCGCGGAAGGCCTCCATGGTGTACGTAGCAATGGAGGCGGCCTCGTCGGTGGAGTTCTGTGCCATGTACAGCGAGAATCCTCGAGGAATGAAGCCGCGGACCTTCGGCACTCCAACGCCAGCTGCTGCATCGTAGGAGACATTGAACGGTGCGCATTGGGAGAACGTGCTTGTGTCGACGGCAAAGGGCGGGGTCGTGGCTGCGGCCTGTGGGGGCAAGCACGACGTGTCGGACGAGTTTTCGATGGCGATCACGTCGGACACCAGACCGGTAGGGTGCCCGTCTGCGTCATCCAAGGACGCCACGAAAGTCGAGCCGGCTGGCAGGGGAAGGAAGGTGACTGCTGCACCAGTGCTCGTGGTAGCATTCCAAGAGTCCTCGGGTATAGTGATGGATATCGGAGTGGAATTGAAAGGAACGACTGTCAAAGTTAAAGGAAGAGCTGTGGGGGCATTGCCCCCGGAGAAAGTTACGCTGAAGGGTCCGCACTGCTGGATTGACGAAAACTTAATGGTGTTGAATCGGGAAAGGACGACCTGCGGTGAAAAGGCCAGGATGCCGCATAACGCCAGCACGACGGCTATCAGCATGGCCTGAAGGCAAAAGAAAAAGCAGAAACCTCAAGTTTACTGGGACATCCAGACAGGAGGAGGGAACCAAGTCAGGCTTGCGAGGCCGACGCTTAGGTGTAATCGCTTAAGCCAAAGGCCGCCGGCATTGGGCCCGGAGTGCCTTCTAAAAGTGTTGTGCAGGCCTTACAACCGCCATTACAAATTTGCGATACGGACTGCTCTCTGGACTTTCAACTCCATCATGATGCTATAGGAAGGCGATCAAAGATCATAATTCCCGGAGTACTCTACAAGACATAACCATTCCCTTACGTTCCCGCACAACCCTACTGTCCCTACAGGCTACAGGCATAGAGACATGTGGAGCGCCACATTGCTAGGGTATACGTAGTCATTGACACAATTCTGGAATACGACGGCTCTATACAGGATAAGAACGTTCGAAGACCAGCTTCATGACAAGGTGGATCGGTTTCCAAGGCATCAGGGAGAACACACCTATAGGGACGGACGTCGGAGTGCCACGAACATCGCGTTATGCAATGCCGTAGCTAGGTCGTACTGTACGGATAACCTTCCAGCAGAACGGCGCAAATCATTGCAACCGCAGGGTCGCAGCCTTTTCTCAGGCCTAGGGACCTCACATTCGAAATAATCTGCTCCAAGTTCCCATGGCAGTTGAGGCAGGAAAAAGTAGGCTGTGAACCCTTCAAGGCAGCGAACGGAAAGGTGCATACGATGCCTGCAACAAGAACAATGTTACAAAGCCAAGGAACGAACAGGAGGAAGTGCCGTAGAGACTTACAATGGGACATACATAGTGGTCAACAAGTCCGCCTCGGAGGTATTTCATTTAGGTTCTGATACCCCACCAGATTTCAATCTCTTGATGCTGTTCCTTCAAATAGAGCACATACGAAAAGGATCGCCGACTGACGCGCCGTCGCCATCACGCGTGGGCAAGAATACCTGCTGTTCTTTACATAGACCTGAGCAAGGCAATCCGACTAGAATCGAGAGGGCCTCTTCCCTTTTGTATCAACGTCGGACGACGTCGATTTCCAACATCAATAGATATGGAAGCCCCGCGCGTATGCGCATTGGTCTCCACCTCCCAATGCGAGCTATCCAGCAAGAGTGATGCCCATCGACTCCGATCGAGGAGGCCGGGTTTCGCGCTGATGATGAGGCCGTATGAACTATCAGACACCCGCTTCTCAGGAGAGATACAACAGACCCTGTGCATAACAATTGCAAGATATACTGGCATGCACAATCCAGACAGCCCGCAAGAGGACGAGAGGGACATCATGATCGAGACTCTCCGTACAGACGACCAGCGACCCACACCACCGACGAACCTCGTTGAAATCGAAGCAGAAACGGTCCAGATCCAAGAGTCGCAACGACTACTTGATTGTCATTTTTCAACAGAGGAATCATGAATGTGCGACGGCGACGAGTCGAGAATGTTGCACGTCGTGGACAAGGAAACAAAACAATCACTACGAGCTGACGCATAAATCCAAATATTCATTGCACGTGACCGGCACAGCATTGCGGGGAAGCAGCCAAATATAGCGCAAGATCCGTCCACTGCTCAGTCCTCATCCTGGGCGACCGCGAATAGGTTGCTGTTCCACGAATCATTATGTTACGGCAGGGTCTAGCAGCAGTGAAGTCCAGGGCCTGTCTTCCCTGCAGAAGATGGCTCGCAAGCGCTGCTAGCGAGAAACATGGGCACCTTCCTAGTTCGCAGTCTCCCATTACATCGAAGCTGAAGTTCTTCAAGTCGGTGACGGAGGATGGTGGGCAAATACCGACGTATCGAGTTTTGGATGGGGTTGGGAAGGTGATTGATGGGGCAGAGGTGCCTGAGGTACGCCGGGTTGTTAGTTAGATCTCCTACGGCTTAGGTACTCAATGGATGTAGATCGACCAAGCATTCGCCAGGAAGATGTGAGTCCACGGAGAGCCTGTAGGAGCCTGTTGTTCTCACTATACTGGAAGATATGAGAACATGGTTCTCCTTCCGACACTTGACACGCTGTTATATAATGTACAGCGGCAAGGGAAGATCTCGTTCTATGTGCGTGCGCACAACTCCCCCCTATCAGGCCGATCTCATTAATTTCCTTCAGATGACTGCTGTAAGGACAAGTGGTCAGTAAGACGTTCAGCGTAATTGACGTCCTTCTGGCCCAGTATGGTGAAGAAGCCACTATCATAGGCTCAGCAGCGGCACTCGCCAATGACGACGAGTAAGTCATGTATCCTCACGACGAATACAATAATGACAGGAAAAGAGTGCTAGGTCTGTGTCGCCATTCGTAACCCCCCATATATTCTAAGCCATCCACAGGGCAATACCGAGAAGCAGGTGTTCTCCTGTGGCGCGGCTTCGGTTTGGACAACATCATGGCTCAGTGCGTAGGCAACGAGGAAGATACCTCGGGCAAGGGTAGACAGATGCCAGTCGTACGCATCTTCCCTAACATCAAGCCTCCCTTCCTCTATACAATCTGACTTTGATTTCTTCGACAGCACTTTGGTTCCCCGAAACATCACTTCCTCACCATATCCTCGCCCCTCGCCACTCAAATCCCCCAAGCCGCCGGCGTCGCGTACGCCATCTCCCGCTCGCCCCGCCGCGGGAAGAACTGCGCGGCAGTGTACTTCGGCGAGGGCGCCGCCTCCGAGGGCGACTTCCACGCGGGGATGCTCTTCGCATCGACCATCCCTTCGCCGACGCTATTCATCGCGCGGAACAACGGGTTCGCGATTTCCACGCCAGCGAATGAGCAGTATCACGGCGACGGGATTGCTGCGAGGGGCCCGGGGTATGGAGTGTGGACGGTGAGGGTTGATGGGAACGATGTCCTCGCTGTGTTGGGCGCTGTGAGGGAAGCAAGGAAACGATGTATCGAAGAGGGGAGAGGGGTGTTAGTCGAGGCTATGACATACAGGTGAGGCGTTCTCTGCGCCTTCCGGAAGATAGTGTGCGAACTGAAATGGCATGCTATTTCCAGGGTGGGCCATCATTCGACATCGGACGACTCGTTCGCATATCGGTCAAGGTCGGAGGTAGAGGATAAGAAGCGGATCGACAATCCCATCACGCGGTTCAGGTTGTTCATGGAGTCGCGGGGGTGGTGGTCGAGTGACGAGGAGGAGGTGCTGCGCGCGAGGCTGAAGAAGGATGTACTCGAAGCGTTCAAGCGCGCGGAAGGGTTGCCGAGGAACGAGCTGAAGGAGCTGTTTACGGACGTATACGGAGGGGAGGAACCGTGGAATATTGTGAGTGATGTTGTGCGCTCTTAAGGCCGCCATGTTAGTGAGGCTCATGCGATTTCGGGTTTCCAGAAGGAGCAGAGGGAAGAGTTGGCGGGGCTGCTCAAGAAATACGGTGATAGCTGGGAGCCTTGGAAGAATGAGCTTGCGAGATTTAAGAGGAAAGGTCAGGACATACTGCAGAAGACGGACTAGTGAATGGATGGCTATCACAGTACTCCTCCTTGGCACGCCAGTCCTCGGGTACCGTCTGAACTGTGCGGAACGCTGTACTTGGAAGCTGGGCTGATCAGTAATATATGTAGTGGAAGAAATTATTCAAGTCTTGACTGCGGGCTAGCTACGTCTGCTCTTACCGATGTCTCCTACTTGTGTAGCGATGTGGCAAAGTTACAGTCCGAGGACTCCGAGGTCCATTCAACCTACTACAATCGCAAGCCATAGGGCTATATTTAGACACTAGGTATGGGCGCCGTACACGCTTCGCGCTTCGACTCGGACATTATGCATACATCATAAACCTCGCCCTTGCCTTGACGCATACCACTATTACTGAAGACGCTTCCCAGATCTTCGCTGAAAAAGCCGCAATGGCAGGTGCAGCAGGTGTGTTACTCATGTCCCTGGCTCTGGGAGCAGCGTCCTTTGGGATAGGCACGCTCCCCTTGTCTCTGAGCTTTACAGGTATGATTGCGGACGGACGTAGGCTGTTATGGACGCTAAGTAACTGGCTTAGGTAGTGGGCTGGCTGGAGTCTCAGCCGTTGGTACCGGTCTGCTACTGGGTGCTGCTCTAGGCATTATAATTCCAGAGTACGCCCTCTGTTCAGTACCTGTTCTATGGAGTCTCACGCTGTGAACCCGCTGTGTGCATTTACATTAGGGGTGTAGAGGCTACAGCAGGAGCCTACGCCGCCTCCGAGTTTCCTACAACCAAGATTGCCGCGTCTCTACTGGTAGGCTTCGTCCTGATGCTGGTCGTGGAACAGTCCATATCCTCGCATGCACACCACACATCCTCTCATTCCCCCGTGTCTCTCGGGGACACAAGGCCGACCAACAAAGTCCTTCCCAGCTCTTCGTCCGAAGTCGAGTTCGACGCCGGCTTGGACGACCTTGAGCTCCAGCCAGGCTCCAGCCCTCGTACGAGCGCATTCCCTTCAGTAGACCTAGTGCGGCGTATAGACGGCAGGAAGGAAGCCTTCCCGCTCACCGTGGGCCTGTTCATACACGGACTCGCGGATGGCCTTGCCCTGGGAGTCTCGTCGCTCTCGGACTCGCAGTCTGTCCACCCATCGGAGCTGTCACTCGTTGTCTTCATGGCACTTATGATTCATAAAGGTATGTGGCGAGACGCTTTAATGCAGGAGAAGGATCATTACAAGGTGTGACAATAGCTCCTACGACGATCGCCTTTACTACCTCGCTTCTGTCGACGGCGTTGCCCAGGTCTGAGATCAAGAAGTACATTGCCATTTTCGCCAGTTCTACGCCTTTGGGTGCTATTGTGTCCTACGCACTATTCTACATGCTGGGTGCTGGCGCTGCTGATAGCACGAGCGGTCTAGCTTTACTCGTATCGGTGAGTTGCGAAGTTTTCGGGACCCTGCCCTGCTTATGCTCCGATGGCTGACTGTGCTCCAGGGCGGAAGCTTCCTGTACGTCGCGACAGTTTTGCAACCAGTATCCGATCACTCCGATGGTTCACCTTCGGAGCTTCGCAAAACGACTCGGACACTGCTCATAGTATTGGGTATGTTAGTACCTTTCTTGATTAGTACCGTTGTCGGCCATGATCATGGGACAGAAGGCGCCGTACCTTCACCTCCGAGTCCAAGCGGGTGAAGCTCGAACTTCTCTTCCTTCCCCAGTAGTCTGTGCGTTGTAATTTAGGCACCCGAGAGCCCTCTCATATATCCATAAGGTCGGACGTATCACATATAGGACTTCCATTGCCATGATAGTGTAAATCTTGAGAATCGGTTATCGACTCTTCCTGCCGGAACTCAGTAACTGCCAGTGTCGCTCGGAGCCAGTGCGGAAATGAATGTCATCTTCGACAGATATATAGCAGGCGTTCCGAAGCAGCGTAGTCAACGGTAAACCTGCAAGCGCAATCCGCATAATCATTTCAAAGTGTGGTGACTGGTGACGCAGCCGAAGTAGATGGACGAGGCGAACCGACACCATTCAAGACATGCTCGACTTCGTCTGTTTCTCCTCGGTCATTCAAAGAAAGTCCTGGCACCCCCCACCTTAGGCTTGAGCTTGTTTGCGATCGGGAACTCTCCTTCAAGAGTTCTACTAATAGTGGCCGGGCTCACCCAATCTAACTTGAGAAGCGTCGGACCTCGCCACACTGCCAGTCTGTCCATTTAAGGCCTGTCAAAATTACTCACAAACACTGCGTCGAGCCGATCGTTCCTCTGAGATGTCGAAAGCCTCGGAATACGGAGAAGAAGAGTCGTCAGGATCAGACGAGACCGCTGGGACTGCGACGACACGGCCATTAAAGCGCGCACGCCACTCCTCGCCCGGTCCAAGCCATCCCAACTCGCACTCGAATGGAACTAACGGATACATGTCTGCGCCCGCGACGAACTTGCCCCCGCTGTCTCTTTCTATCCTCGGAGTCGAGCCGCTCGACGAGTTCATCCGCGAGGTCGCGGACTTTGTCCACCATATGATCAGCACGAGACCCGATGTGGGCGGGCAGGTAGAGCTGGAGGCAAAAATTGGGATTCTGAGGAATAAACACTCGGGGCAGAGGGCGCAGTTGCCGGTTCTTGTCGAGACAAGTACGCAGTTACGTTGAATATCTTTACTTCTTGTTAACCAGCGGCGGTAGTTTTGGATCCTAATTTCCCGGATGTACGATTTGAGTCCAATATGTCTATAGTGAGCACTCGCAAGTACCCTCGCGACCTATCTCTCATTCCCCCATCTGCAAGGCAAAACATAGACACTACAATGAATTGCTCAATAACCTCATGACATCGTCTTTACAACCTGGTCATCCAACCACGCCCCTACAGTACGCCCACCGCTACCTCATTGATTCCTTTTACCCCGCGGACAACCCTCGGGATCGAGAGAAGATACGGGTGACGCGAGATGAAAAGAGCGGGGCCGTTCTTGAATGCATGAAGAAAATGAGACTGGGGGATTTGAACGTGTACAGCCCAAAGCGTGGCGCAGACTGGCGAATATCTGTCAGTCTTGAAATCCCAGGTGAGGCCGTCCGCTACGATGTCCGTGCCTAATTTTATAACACAGTTACGTAGTCCCTCCACCGTCGGGCAACCCCACCCATACCCGAAGAAAAGACAGACTGAGTTATACTCATGAAGAATTTGTGATAGACCTAACACAGGTCACATCCACCACCTCTCCAAACGCTCCAGTACGTTTTTAGGCAGCATGCGTATCCGGATATACGTGCTTATGTCTGCAACAGCCCGAAGTTCTACACGAATTAGAGCTCGAAGTGGCGCGGCCCGAGCTGTTGCTCGCAACAGCGTCCAAGCGCAACGACCTCAACGTACCGGAACAAGAGCGCTACGCCTTCGACGAGCTCATCCGCGCATTCGTCAACGACGCCAGGATCCTTGTCCGGAACTCGGGGGAGGGCTGGCATTAGCGATCCTATCCGCTCGGACTTCCGTTCTCCCGCGTTCCTCCTCATATTGTGTGCTGCCCCTGATGTATCACTAGCACTCTGCCTCTCGATCTTTTGATAGAAGCCTACGTTACTGCGCGTTCATATGTATAGTAAGTCGGAGGCCTTCACGATATACGGGAAACTGAACGCTTGCATTGATAATTCAGCCTGAAATTATTCTATACCCCCTTGGTGAATGCAAAGATCGGCCCTTGTCATGCGCTTCGACAAGAGGGTCAACACGTTTTATTATGCTCGTCTATGCGTGATGACGCACATTGTCTTTGCAGTGGCGTGCTTGCACGACTCGCCGATAACATGCGCAGTCAGTGCAGTCCGACGCCCCATACAAACCAACAGAAGTATAAACAGTCATTCGCCTGCCCAGTCTTTCCAGAGTTGCAGCATCAAGCTTACCGAAGTATTCACAAATGGAATACCTGCATACGCCAAATGTTCATTCGCGTAGATGTAACATTGCACCTGCCACGTCTGGCTCTCTCCGATGGGTGCAACTAGATGCAATCATCACCCACTGGTATGTTAACTAGAGTACACTGGCAGACAACGAAGAAACAGCAAAGCCCGTAAAGAAAAAGGACGACCTGCACCGCGAAAGAATGATGGATCATAGCCCAACAACATCGATGCAATCGCCATCCTCCAAGCCTGCCTCCCCAATCTCGGAGGAAGGATCCATCTTGTCGCCGTCAACCACCAGTGTGGGCATATTGCTCACAGTCTTCTTCTTCCTGCCCTTACCCTTGGCTCCCTGATACTTCTCTGTGAGCCCCGCAGACTTTAGGAAGGCCTTCACGATCGCAGCACATGTGGTCGTCGGTCGGACAGTGACGGTGATCTTGTCAGTGACTGCTGAGCGGAGGACAAGCTTGAACTTGTCCTCGGCTTGAGACTCGGACTCAACCCCGGAGTCTGATTCAGCGTCGGATCCGAATCCAGCGCTAGGAGAGCGTGTCGGGGGAGGCCACTTGTCATCCTTGTCGGCCCCGGGTGCGCCGATGTCGAGGCGGTGGGTTCTTATGTATTCATATGTCGTCTTCTCACAGGCAACTAAGGGTGAGTAATGAGCCAAGCCGTGCGAGGCATATTAATGGTGCATATTTACCCAGCTCTGCTTCCGCCCAAATCCCTGAGATATGCGGAGTGGACGGCGAGAATACTTGTTTGCCGCTATGTGTGACGATGAGATTATCCACGAGGATACCAGCCTCGTCTGCCGTTTCTTCAAATAGCCGTTGGAATGTATCGTGCTAACCAGTTGATTATACGATGATCACAACACCAAGTGGGAAACGTGGTACGTACGCGCTTCATCTTGAAAGTCCAGAGTTCGCTTCGTCCGGCGTCGTCTTCGGGGTGAGGCTGCCATCTCACGCGAATTGTAACCACTTCCGGCCCGCCCCCAAGCTCTTGGTCGATGGAAGCGTCCTTGACGAAGGACTTCGCCTGGCTCTCGACTTCCCTTGCTATTGCCATGAGCTCCGGATCCAGTGTTACCGTGTCAGCAGAGTCGCCCTCGTCGTCAAATGCCGTTGGTGACACAGGCCGAGGGCCAATGTCGAGAGCTTGTCTTCATGTATGCGTGAGAATGTCCGGCACACTTACCATCTTTCGAGACACGTACCGCACAAGATTTCTAGCATTCTGGATCTGGAGAAGGGACAGCGGCGGAGGTGGGGTTATTGACCTGGATCGACTACGCTGTCGCTTCTGGCGTTTCTGAGTTTGACGCTCAGCTCGCCTCCTCGGGGTCACATTGTCGATGCTTTGCAGGGCGTCTTCGTCGTCGTCATCATCATCGGATGACAGCCTAATCATTCAGGTCAGAGAAGACGGACAGTTGAAGGAGACATAACAGAAGAAGGGCATCTACTGCGGGGAGTAAACCCTCGTGCATACATCATGATCACACAACAGCACCGGCATGAGCATCATTCTACAGCCCAGTTGTGTACGCCGCTAGTGCGCGAGCCTTTCCGGAGTAAGACGGTCGGGGACTTACAAGTTGACTATCTTCGTCCTGGTCCAGCTCGGCAATGGCTTATTACTTTGCGATCTCTTCTTCTTCTTCGTCCGTGGCGAGTCATTCACTTCCCATACGTCTCCATCTGTGTCCGCCCCCGAGCTTTGGTCGTCAAGGGCGGGGGAGCTTCTCTCTTTCTCTGTAGCAATCATATCATATTAGTACAAGCTTGCCGTATCTCGTTCCGAAGACATAACCAACCCTTCACAATTTCCTCTATCTTCTTCCAACCCGTAACAGAACGATTGCGCATGAAATGTGCGTCTTCATCGTCCACTTCAGTAATAGATGGTTGGGCCGGGGCCTTGGTGGATTTAGCGGTGGGGGCAGTTGCAGATGAAGCCTCTTTATTCGAGCTGCCGGACGCGACGCGAGGGCGCGGTCGAGGACGGGGGCGAGTCGACATGAGAGCAAGGGGAAAGCCGAATGCGTGGGAATATCCTGAACGCGTCAGTGGCGGGCGCCTGCGTCACATGAGTCGACTGCTACAACTTGCCCCGACAGTGATTCTGAGTGACAGCAATCGGCGAAACGATAGAGAACTTTCAGAATTCTTCGCGCAGGCAGCCGAGCCCGGAAAGGTAATTATACCCCACTCGGGGCCACAGTGCACCACGACTCACCACTCTTGTTGATCAGGACACAGCATTAGCGGAGCAAAATTGGTGATACCCTACTCTAATAAGTAAGCCGCGGAACGGCTGCTGAGTGCAGAAAATACCAAGCTTCTCTATCGTTTCGCCGATTGCTGGAACACTCCGACTTGCGTTGGTCGCGGCGATGGCGGACGCCCCAGTAGTATTCAAGCGGACAAAGTCGAAACATGTCCAGAGGGTCAGAGACACTCCCATTGAAGAGAATGAAGAGAAGACCGAAGGACCCGGCAATACAGAGGATTCTCCCAGTACACTTGCTATGAAACTGAAGAAGAAAACTCGGGCTAAGCCAAAGTCAAGACTCAGTTTCGGGGGAGCCGACGAGGTGCGGAATGTTAACACCAGAGCTGAGATTTCCAAGTGTCCCCTCTGACGAATGTTCGACAGGCCGAGGAAGGGGAGGTCTTCCAGATCAAGAAGTCAAACTTGAGCAGTAGGATATCACTAGGAAAGGCTCCCGGCTCCCCTGGGTACGTGTTATCAGGCGCTTTCATTCTTTGCTAAAGCCCTGACGTCAAGTAGCGTACCCTCGGTCGAGAGTTCCCCTAGAAGCAGTGGACCTGTCTACGACCAAGCATATCTTTCACAATTGAAGGCGAGCACGCCGACGTCCCGACCACGACTTGCCGGTGATGAGTCAGTTGACATGTCAATGAGCGTCGATGGGGACAACTCGATTGCTCTCGCTGCAAGTGACGTATTCGGTAAACTACGGCATGCCTCTCGTCCGTTAATGTACTCATGTTTCATTATTGACCTGCTCATTTTAGCGGATACCGACACTGCTATTCCTTCTGCATCCTCTATACAGGCAGCTAAAGAGAAACGCGAACGTCTTCGAACGACGGCCCCTGCTGCAGAGGATTTCATCTCGCTCTCGCTAACGAAGCGCGAGGATAATTACCAAGGTCCGCATCCCGAGAGCCGACTCGTGCGGGAAGAAGACGAGCTAGGTGAAGCAGAAGAAGGTGAGTTGCGCGTCTCCAAGCCTGCGAAGATAAACAAACTGATGGCTGTTATAGAATTTGCTGAATATACTAGTGCACAAGAACGCATTGCACTAGGTAAAAAAAGCAAAAAAGTTGAAGCGGCTAAGAAGAGAGAAGAAATGCAAGAGCTGATTGCGGAGGCGTGAGTTGTTCGCCCGACAACGTTCGTATAAACTTCACTGACAGCGGCCATTCAGCGAAGAAGTTGACGAAGAGACAATAGAATGGGAGCAGGAGCAACTACGTCGGGGCGGTCATCGGCCCGAAGAGATATTCCAGCCTGCCAAGGAAGTTTATAAGCCTGCGCCGAGTGCGTTATTTCATATCACAAAACACGTTCATTTACTGACTGCATAAAGTACCGATGGAGACGCCGATACCAACTTTGGCATCAGCGATAGGACGTCTCACCCAATCTTTGACCGCTTTAACCACGTCACATGCTCAAAATACTTCAACCGTGGAATCCCTAGCAGAGGAGCGGATTCAGTTGGAAGCTCGGGAAAGGGAGATGCGTGAGATGATTGCTGAAGCCGAAGCCAAGCGAAGCTGGTTCGCAGCATTTAGGGATTGGGTGGAAAGCGTTGCCACTTTCTTGGATGAAAAGGTGGATGGCTTAAGTTTCCTGCTTTATTACAAGCCTTTGCTAATTCACCTTCACGCTGATAGTATCCCGAGTTAGAGAAATTGGAGGATGAACATGTCTCCCTCTTGAGGGAGCGGCACGATATGATTTCGAAACGACGGCGCGACGACGATGCTGATGATCTCTCACTCTTCCTTGGTACACTGCCGGTCTCCTCCGCGGCTGACGTGGATGAGCTAGGTCGAGCCGTCGAACCCTTGAACGCTGCCTCGAGGAAGGACAGGCGTGCTGCCAGAATCTCACGACGATCGAATCGGCAGCGGAGGAGCGCCCCCTCAAGTGATGAAGAGGAGGGCTATTCCACAGATTCATCCTTAGCACCGTCCGATGCTGCAGATTACCAAACGGCAATGGGAGGTTTATCACTAAAGGTGCGCGACGTCTTGGCAGATGTCCAGGCGGATGATTTCAAAGATCCTGGTCTGGGTCTTGGGAAATGGTTTGGCGAGTGGCGACAGCGATTCGGAGACACTTATACCGGGGCCTGGGGCGGCTTGGGTATGGTTGGGGCGTGGGAATTCTGGGTGAGGCTCGAGTTGTTGGGTTGGGACCCTCTGGAGGTACGCGGTCAATTCCTTGGGTGCGAGTGCGGTGACTGCGTTCTAAACGCAGCTGTCTGAAGGATCACAGAAGCCTCGACAGCTTCGACTGGTATACATCTCTTTACCAGTATTCTCGCCCTCAGGATGAGGACGAGGAGCCCGCACTAGGACCAGATGGGGATTTGGTCTCAGCGATGATATCCACCGCTGTGATCCCTCGACTGGTCAAAGTGGTTGTTGGAGGTGCCTTTGATCCCTATTCCGCGAAGCATGTAGGACGGATTATAGACCTTGCTGAAGAGGTCGAGGCGTCGATTGAGCCTGACAATCTCAAATTCCAGGTAAGCTGTGATTGCGTAGTGATTTGGACGGTGACTGAAGTATTATAGACCCTGTTGAAGTCTGTCTTCCAGTTGTTCTCTGGGGCTGTTACGGACATGGAGGCGTTGGTCGCCCCCTATTTGGCACAAAGTGTCCCGCGCTTCGATCCTGAAGCCATTCCAGCGCGCAGACGTATTTTGGCAAGACAGATGAAGTTGCTCAGGAATATACTGCGGTGGAGGAAATACACTTCTGGTAAATTTGGTATTGGTGAGCTGGGAACTCGGCTGGTGCGAGATTCCATGCTGCCTATTGCCGAAAGTGGGTGGGAAGTTGGTGGGGAAGAGGCTGTTCGGAAGGTAGGTCAATGTCTCGGGCTTCCCTATTGGTATACTGATATATGGTTACAGATCGCGGACATCATGCCGGACGAGTTGTTACCTGCATCTGTCAAGACGCGTTTGGCCATTTCGTAGGTCACGGACTATTTTTTGGTATGACACAGCACAGAACCTATCAAACGCGAGAGACGATTGCTATGTATTCTACGCCGTCCCACTCCGGGAGCCTGCACATTATGTGCCATCGATGGTGACGAGGCAGCCTTCGCGGCTCCTTCCTGCGACCTCGTCACCGCAGGTTGGCTCCCGGAAGAGCGATAATGAAGCTAACTGACCCGCACGCGACGTCCGCCGACGGTTCACTCCGCAGTGCGTGGCTCGTTCCGCTGTCAGACATCATGTTCCGACTGCTGCGGGAGCACCTATATGCGCATGGTCTTGGACAGCACGCTCTGCTTTATCTCTTCCACAACATCTTGAAATATCTGAAGTCCATCCTCCTCGAGGATGTTGCAGTTCCAACATTCTCGAGGAGCCGTGTCCACTAACATTTCGGGATCATTGGAGATGTATGGAGGCTTGATGACCCCTCTATAACGATAGAAGCAGAGTCTAGTTCCCATTGCGCTGCGGCATGTAGAAATGGAAGGGGGCAGACATCTGCATCGTGACAATTGCAAGGGATGAGCCTAGCATAGTGAAAGGGTGCATGAACGTCGTAAGTCCTGTATGCGGGTTCGGATTTCCCAGTCAGCTTCCTTACGAGATGGATTAATCGAACTGAAGATCTCGAGGTGCCCTGACATGCAATATGAAGACAGGTTTATCGATGTACTAGTACTGTACTTCAAAAGACGTAATGGAGTGGGCAGATTCTCGCGATGCTGGCTTTAGATGCAGCTGGGGAACGACAGTATAATCGGTACCCGGGGGAATAATGTATAGAAGAGATTGTTGTATGGACCGTTATAGTCCGACTCGTCGGGGTTGGGACGGACTTTCTCGTATTGATGGACAACCTTCTGTGGCCAAGGCATATGCATGGTGGCGGTCCCGCAAACGTGTTCTGTACTGGGTCTTGGGTATTATGGTTGGGCGTGGGAGTCTGGATTGTGGCAGCGAGCTCGAGCCTGTTTGGCTGCGTTCCGAGGGACCACAGGAGTCTTGACAATGACAGCTTCGATTGGCCATGGTAGACCAAGTATTCACGCCTCAGGATGAAGGCGAGCTGCCGAGATTGGAGGAGGGGGGGATTGAGTCTCAGCCGCAATACGCACCACCGTAAGTACTCGAGCTGAGCAAGGACATTGCCGGGCGTTAATTGGGGTGTGCGAGATTCCATTGTTGCCGACGACCAGGAAGTCAGTGAGGAGGTGGCTGCCTGGGCAAGTACGTGCTATATCCTGGTGCTAGTTGTTGCTGATATTTTGCCTTTGCAAGGCAGATGTCGATATTATGCCAACTGAGCTATTACCGGCATTTGTTAAGATATGTCTGGCTATTACGACTGTCCTCCCGGCACTCGCGATTGCTTCCTTCAGCCATTCCTGGGATTAGCGGATTTCCGTGTGCGACATTTCTACTATACATCTTGAAGTCTTCGCTGTTTTCTAAGCGTCGGTATGGCGTTCCGACATTGGTATTTAAATACTGACTGGGCTTGGTTTGGATAAGAATTCTTGGAGCGATCCCCAAGTCCTATCCGCTCGATCCGAACATATCATCACTCGCATTATGCTCGGCCTGGTCAGCCACCACTGGTCGGATGTATAACATGCGGCGGGACACTGTCGTCCTCCTCGCTCCATACTAGTCGCCAGATATCCTCCTTCCCTACCTTACCTTCTAAATGTCTCAGACAGACCTTTCCACACGTTCTCAGACGACCATTGCACCCAGCCATGCCAGTGCAGAGGCTCCAAAGCCCGATCCCCTACCAGCCCGCCCGGACAACCCTGTTCCTGGACGCGTCTTTGACGCCCCGGGAGAAATCACACTCTGCCCTAACACATGGGCCAAAGTCCGGTAAGACAATCTTGCAGAGTCACGGTCTCTTGCGCTGAGCGCAGTCAAGAAATTCCATACGCGAACCAGTAGCAGAGTTCCTGGGCACTATGATCCTCTGCATATTCGGGAACGGTGTTAACTGTCAGGTAGTCCTGTCCAGCAATACAGATGTAGCGCCTATGCAAAAGGGGGTGAGTAAGCTGAGTCTACGATTATCATCACTAGAATGTGCAACTTGCCGTCGACAGGATTATCTGTCTGTCTGTTTCGGATGGGCCACTGGTAAGTCGCAATAAAATGCGCGTTGGCCGTGTCGGTCACTAACAACCGTTTTAAGGCCTTGCCCTCGCAGTGTGGATATCAGGCGGCGTTTCCGGCGGACATGTCAATCCTGCGGTACGGAATCCGATTGCCTGTTCAGTGTAATGGATTAACAGACTTCGCCGTAGGTTACGCTCTCGTTGGCTGTGTTCCGCCGGTTCCCGTGGAAGAAGGTGCCTATATACATGTTCGCGCAGCTGTTGGGCGCTCTGTGCGGAGGAGGTATCGCGTATGGGAATTACTACCATGCCATTGATATATTCGAGGGGGGAAGGCGGACTGTTCCAGGTACTGCTGTCCTATTCAGCTCGTACCCGGTAAGTCGTCTGTTGTCCGCTGTAGGTTCAGGACGACACTGAAATCTTTTGACGTAGTTGGACTACCTAACAAATGCATCTGCTTTCTTCTCCGAGGTTCGTCATCCACTATCTTGACTGTGAGACGGGTCATAACACTGCGTGTCCTCGAAGTTCTTGGGCGCTGCGATTCTCATTATTGTAGTGTTCAGTCTAATGGACGCTACTAACGGCTCTCCCCCCACGGGCATGGTCCCTCTGGCTCTGTTTATAACTCTGCTGGGCATCTCAGCTGCCTTGGGTATGGAGACAGGTATTGTAGCTCTCGCTCGAGCGCGGCGCTACACGTCTGACGGTCCCTGCCAAAAAGGTTTCTCAATCAACCCCGCCCGCGACCTCGGGCCTCGCATCTTCACCGCAATGGTCGGGTACGGACGAGAAGGTGGGTGTCATCCTGTTTACGCTCTCGATCAGCCTACCACGCGCTTACACCTCCGCTATTATTCCACGACCATCTAGTATTCAATTTCAGGCAGTGAGTATTGATCGCGTCGATCGGTTTTCGATCAAGCTCTTCCGGACCTGGACCATGCTAAACCCTTGGCACTGCAGCCAGTACTGGATATGGGGCCCCATCCTCGGGGCGTTCTCGGGGGCGCTCGTGGGCGCGCTCGTATACGACGTCTTCATCTTCCGCGGTGCCGAGAGCATAATCAATACGCCGTGAGTTTCCCCTGCGCTGCGCAATCGGTACGGTACTTACAGACGTACGACGGTCGCGTCATTATTGTTCCAGGGATGCGGCCGCGAGAGAGCGCAACGCACACGCAAGGCACGAGCAGCGGCCCAATCCCGCTGGCGTTGAAATTGTCTGAGGCGAGAAAGTTCCTCCCGGTCGACGTTGCGTGGCTCTACATGTAATCTCACTTGTTTCACCGGTCGGTATATTGTTGGGCCTTGTAGACTGACAGGAAATTTTGGATTTATTGCTGCTCCTGGATGATCTCGCCCGCAGCTTAGCTACTTGTGATGAGAACCCGAAGACCGGCATCCAGGCTAGCGCAAGGCATCTAGGGAATCACGAGGACGGTGGCCATACCCTGGAGCTTGTCCTTGAAGTGACGCATTTGACGTATTACAATTGGATCTTCGCTTTCGCCACTCTATAGGGAGTGGATGTCGCACTATCATAGCGAGCGTTAAGCCTGACCTTCTACTAATGGGGAAATCGACCGCATATTCATACACTAACAGCGGGACCGATTGCACAGCCAACCTGGCCCAAGGATGAGCACTTGATCATGAACATCCGTCAGCGAAAAGAAGCATTTTAGCTCAAGATCCATCATCCACAAGGCCAACGAGCCCATGAGCGAGACCACCTTTAACCTGGTCAGGTGGGTCTGTGCATCAGTGGCGCATCCTGAATCGTCGAACGCAGAGCAAGCAAGGTGTGTCGTATTGTCTTCTGTGGCGGACACGGGGAGCCGTTGGACGTATTCGACGCACTGACCCTAGATGGGGATCGTGTCGAGGAATGAAGGGATGGTCGGGTCGGAACGTAAATGTTCAGCAAAAATAAGGCAATATGGACAAGAATAAACGGAGACTGAAAGGCGGTGCTTCATAACGAAAACAAGAAGAGTTCACGAGTGCAAAAATAAGACTGTATCCAGCAAGAAGAGAGTCGCAAGTGAAGGGGGCCATCATAACGAGCTCGAGGAACTTCATGAACACAGAAATAAGACGGTCTTCAACGAGAATAAAACAGAACTGTACGGTAGTGGGGCCTAAGCTTCGTATCACAGAAGCAGAAGAGCTTCATGGACACCGACCTGGGGCAGCCGAACATGAAGGAATATTGGAGAGCGCCGCCGTCGACGCGCATGGAGGTCCGGGGCGAGGAGCCGGGAGGTCATTTCATTATCTGCGCGTCCGCGATCGCGTTCGGCGGGCAGAAGTCTGATGCATAGATCAAGGCACGTAAGGGCAGGCTTCTCCACGCTTCGCGACAAGAGGAGAGGCACCATTTATGGTAACGGCGTGACCTCATCGAAATTTGAGTTGGTCCTGGCTTACCGGCGAATACAGCCAGTTATCGCCGGAGCACTGGCCTGAGGCGGTCGTCGCGCAGAGCGAGCAGGTAAGCTAGCCGGTGTAAGCGGCCAAAGGCTTGGTGATCGCCAGTCACCGCTGCTGCGAGCCCAATGGCTCAAGGTCAGCCGCAAAACAGAACTGCCACCGCGAGGAGATATACCCCACGTCGACAGCCTAACGGACTCCAAACAGAATTGTACTGAATTCGAAATGCCCGACAGGGGGCCCACGGGGGGTGCGGGATGGAGTCTGGAGAATGTGCAGCGATCACGAAATAAGGCGGCATCGTAATACAAATTTAGGAAGGGATGATAGCGAGGCGTACGGAGAGCATGCTTGAGCAAACAGGTACAACTTTCCTGCAAAGATAGCGATCTGCAGAGGCCAGACTGGTCCTTGCAGACCGCCACCTGAGCCAAGTATACCAGCCTGTACGAGCCTGACCAGCCTCCATCCGCACAAGTTCCGGTATCCCGAGCGATTAGAACGTCTGGAAACTCTGTGATATCCGAATGCAAGAAGGGTCCAGATCATGTGTCGCGTATAGCAGACGAAGGCCTTACGGAGACTGAAATAAGTCATAGCGCACGTCACCTAATCATAGCTGCACCGACCACCCACACCACCAGCGATATCCTGGACGGTTTCAGGAGGCAGCAGAGATAAATTGGCAGGGACGTGCAGCACACCGTGCGCGACAGAGATCAGGGCAAGGAACAGCGACATATCGTTCGGGCAGGACATCGTGTGCGGAAGCGCTCGGAACTACTGGATTCGGAGATCGTGGTTCGTAAATGGTTTATACAAATGCCGAGCTCCATGCCGGCGTTCGCCGGAGGCCAGCTATCCACCCAGACGCGCTCGGTCGAAGGCGTCCTACCGGCAACTCGTCCCGTTATAATGTGATCGCATAGCCAGCCAATATTCCCCACCTTTTCCTATCTCCCCATCCCGCCTTCTGGCGTCTTGTAGATATCTTCCATCTCCCTTACGCCCTACGACCTTTACGACATGAGGGACTTCAGAATCAGGAGCGTCGACCGCAAGTCGGACTCGGAGACGAGCTCGGTCACCCGCGACGCGAGCCTCGATCGGACAAAGCGGTACTCTGGCGAACACGAACATCATGAGCATCATACACACGAAAAGACAGAGATTCACGACGACTCCGAGGAAATGATTACTCGCTACCCTAATCGGTGGTCGCGGATACGGTGAGTTTCGCTGGTATACTCTGTCGCGACACCAGCTCACGTCGGCTGCAGAGAGTACCTGCGAGAACCAGCTGCTGAGTTCCTTGGAACCATGATTCTTATCATCTTTGGTACTGGTGTCGACTGCCAAGTCGTGCTTTCCGGCAATACAGCCGTTGCAGCAAGTCCCAAAGGGGTACGTATGGGTTGCTCTGACCGTCCTATCGTCCTTAACCGGTTCCTCTAGGATTACCTGTCTTTAAACTTTGGATGGGCAGTCGGTACGTTGACCAGCATTCTGCACAAATTTCACCGCTCACTAAATTCGTACGTTAGGTACTGCGCTGGGTGTATGGTTCTCAGGCGGTATTTCTGGTGGTCACATCAACCCGGCTGTAACTCTAGCATTGGCGACGTTCCGTGGCTTTCCATGGAAGAAAGTGCCCGCCTTCATCTTCGCTCAACTAATGGGCGCATTGTGCGGTGCTGCGATCATCTACGCCAACTACTTCCACGCCATCGATATCTTCGAAGGCGGCCGGGGCGTTAGAACAGTGCCCGGGACCGCCGGCCTGTTTTCTACGTACGCGGTAAGTTGATAGGCTTGCTGATGCCAACACTGTCCTCACTCTCGTCGATCAGCTGGATTACATGACCAACGTCTCTTGCTTCTTCTCGGAGTTCATGGCGACCGCGGTGCTGCTTCTCGTTGTGCTCGCCGTGACGGACAAGAACAACGGCCCCCCTCCACCGGGCTTGGTTCCCCTCACGCTGTTCATCACTATCCTCGGTATCGGTGCGGCCCTCGGTATGGAGACCGGCTACGCTATCAATCCCGCGCGTGACCTTGGCCCCCGACTCCTGACCGCTATGGTTGGGTACGGCAAGGACGTCTTCACTTTCCGGAAGTACGTAAAATCGTGTTGCCCCATTTTCTGTCGGATACTGACCCGCCCCACAGCCACTACTGGCTCTGGTGCCCAGTGATTGCCCCTATAATCGGCGCACAGGCCGGCGCGCTGATCTACGACGGCTTCATTTTCACCGGCGCCGAGAGCATACTGAACAAGCCGTGAGTAGCCACATTTACATGGACTCCTGTCAATAGCAGGTCACTGACGGGTCATGTTTGCATTCAGTGACGCAAGAGCCCGCGCAGCGCATGCACGCGCCCCTTACGAGGAGAGGCAAAAACCGATCGCTGGCGCGGAGGCCGTATGATCGTCAGACCTGCGATACCCCTGACTATCCCCTCCCCCGTGCTGTAATTTATTATACTAATGTCTGTACTAGTACCTATTTACCATCATTCCTACATACTACTCCTACATACCTACCTCCCAATCGCGAACAGTTTATATTTGGGCTTTGTGGTTGCATTCGAATCAAATCTCGGTGTTATTTTCTGCCAGTGAGCGTTGTGTGGCAATTCATTATCGGCTCCGCTCCGCAGCCCCGCGCTTTCGCACGTTCTAGCGCATTCCGCAGCCACCCAAGCCTCCACTGACAAGTCCAAGTCCACCCAGCAAAGGGTCTGGGTTCCCCGCCGTTTCGACAGGTCTCGACTGTGAGCTGGGTTGTATGTCGTTCGCTGGCTGTTCTCCCTTCTATTTCGTTTCCATCTATCTTGAGGTGCTCGAGCTCAGTCTGTAAATATTAGTATGGATCCTCCCAGCTCTAGCATGGACCGACGGCTCTCGACGGACTCAGACTTGAGCCGCCTGGACTCGCCCTCGGGCGACTCGGCGAACTCGAGCCTCAGCTCGACGACCGCGCTCGTCCTGATCCACGACTCCGCTGACGACGGCGCGCCGTTCGACTTCTCGGAGGACGACGACGACTTCTCAAATGACCTGCAGAGCGAGCGGGTGCGCGCGTCCGCGGTGCCGCCCCTCCCGCCCAACACGGTCTTCCTCTACCTCCTCGCGCCGTACCTGAAGATCGGGGCACTGCTGCTCCCCGCGGCTGCGCGGGGCCTGCCGATGAGGTACGCGGTTCCGGCGCTGGTGGGCTTCGCGCTGCTGTCGGCGCTGACGAGGCAGGTGTGGTACATGCTCGCGCGGTACGTGCGCAAGGCGGATATGGAGGAGGTCGTGCTGGATGCGCTGGCACGGGGCGCAGGGAAGGAGGGGCGACGGAGGGTGGTGAGGGCGCTGGTGAGGCTCGGGACGGGCGCGGCGAGGGTGCTGGTGGCTGCTGTGTATCTGCGGGGTCAGTTTGTTATATTATGTATCGTGTATGCGGTGGTATTGAAACATGATTGGTGGAAGAATCTGTGGAGGCGCTGCTGCCCCTTGCGCCGGATATGTTAGTTGTCCCGCCGAGGATAGTCTTGACGGTGATTCTGGCTGTCATAGTTCTTCCCCTGACTTGGGCGAAAACTGTTGCGTTCCGGCGGATTGTATGCGCGGAGGGGATATCCGTCGCTGCATATGTGCTGTGGATGGCCCTGGAGACGTATGCGCAGACGCACGGCACACAGACGAGTGAGCCGGAGCCTAAGATGGGCGCTCTCTGGCAGAGCATCAGTGCGTCTGTTCCATACCCCCAGTTTTCGCCACTCTTAACCGATATATGTGACATGTAGCTACCATAGCGTGTGCGTTCTCGACTGCACTAACCCTCCCACTGTATGCGTCCTTGAAGGGGACCGTTCAGCCTATGACCACGGCGTCGAAATACTCACCTTCGTTCAAAATACTGTCTATCCTATCGGTGGCAGTAGCTACTGGCTTGCTGCTGCCTCTGGTAGTAGCATCTGCTTCATCGAACCTGCAGGTAGGGGAATGGATATACTCTAATGATTGATCATGCGTTGACATCGTAGAAGGCTTCAGGTTTCCCGTCAACGTATCTGATGGCCCTCTTGAAAGTGGCTATCCTGACGTCGTCGATCCCGGCTCTGGTCATAACCTGCCCAGCCATCCCTATGCCGCGTCGAATGCGCAGAGTTTCTGACGTCCCGCTTTCCAAATTTACTATCTTCAGTATCGTCGCTATCTTGTCCCTGGCACCGGAGCAAGCATCTTACGTTCTGCAGGACGTAATGCTGGTCATAGTACTGGCGGGATCATATACTGCGCCGGGTACGTTCATACCTCCCTCTCGCTCTTAATCCCATAAAGCTAACCACTTACACACACAGCGCTAATACACATCATCATGTACCAGTTCAAACGCCCACTATCCATAGTGATGCCGCACACACCCTCGCTGCCGCGGCATCGCTCCTCGGACTCGACGCCCTCGCATGATGAGCTCCTGCAGCGCAAGGAGCGCAAGCTGCAGCGGCGCCGCCTGTGGCGCCGGATCGTCTGGGACGTCGGCGTGTGGGCCGTGCTTCTGCCGCTGTCGGTGGGCGGCTTCGCGTGGGCAGGCGGGCGGGTCGCCGGGGCGTGGTGAACGGGCAGTCTTGGCTGTGAAATACTAGAGCATGTATCGGACTCGTAGGGTGTACTTTTATTTCGAACTTTGTATCGATCTAGTGTCTGATTTTTCTTATTGGCCAGCGGATGGAGAGATGTGTGACCCGCTGCCTTTCCCGTGATCGGACTGTCGAAGCAGTCGAGTGGCAGGTATCAAGCCTCGGCGTTTGCCAGGCCTAATGCCACTTTCGATGATCACGTCCATCCTGTTATAACTAATATAAGGTCCCACTCTTTCGCGGGCAGCATGTTCTCTCCTTTGACCTTGTCTGTCGTCTCGATGGCCAGCATCTCTGCAAGTACATCTGGGTCCGGCCACCGTCAGACAAGGACTTGGGCTTTAGCAACGACGACACCGTCGGAAACGCAAGATGAGCCTCCGCTGAAGAAGAGGAGTTCTGTCGTGGCCGCACCCTGGCAGCTCGACATTCTCGTCTCTCTGTACCAGCAGACGCAGCACCCTAACGAGGACGACAGGAGATGGGCTGCGTCGAAGACTGGATTGTACGTACTTGCCACTGTATGCGGTCTCTGCTTGAACGCCGAGTGTTAGGGAAGAGAAATGGATCATGAACTGGTTCCAGCGGCAGCGAAACCCGAAGAAGCGCTCCTTGTCTGTTGCCAGCCTTACTTCTAGTCTGTCCTCTGGTCCCGGTGCGGCTGACTGTCAAACGGATGTTTTCTCTGCTGGTCTGTATCTGAATTGGCGGCCTCCTCCTGGCGATATACCTGATCCTGGTAGTTCTTGTACCATGTACTTCGAAGCATCAACTGAGGGAGCTGAGCCCAAGCCAGAACAACTGCCAGCAAGGGAAGCCTCCGTGTCCACGGATATGTCGTTGGAATACCCCAACTCGCCAGACCTGCCGGACCCTGTTGGATATTCTGGCGCTAGGATCAGTGCGCCCTCGGTCGTGCAGTCGATTAGCATTACTCCGATAACTCTGATGACCCGGCCTTTCTACGATGGCTCCCTCGCTAGTCATATGTTCTCTCCCGCTCTGCCAGCTCACCGTGAAGGCTTGTGGTCGTCTCCCTTCACAATGAATCCAACCATTCAACAGGGCCGACAGAACGATCCCTCGGGAATACCGAGCATAGCTAACTTTCTTTTTGACGTACCGGCTACCGGAATCCACCTCTTTCCTTCATCTCCATCGAGCCAGTTTTCCTCGAATATGCACCAGTCTTTCTCTGTCACTCAAGAGTCCTTTGTCCCCCATCACTTAGGCGCGGCAATGTTCAGTCCACCTTCGCATATACCGCAACCTATTGTCCCCATTGCTTTTCCTGCGCGTCTGGGCGACCTTGTCAGTCTGACGAAGAGGATCCGTGCGACGTATGCGCAAGATGTGGTGGACGCGATACGGGGGAGCGACGGCGACCCTGCGCCGTCGCCGGAGTCCTCTACAAACAGGAGCGATCAAGGTAAGTACATGCTGTCCCAAAAGGGTGGCTCCTCGTTAACTTTCTGCAGTCGAAGAAGAGGAACGCGAGTTTGGGCTAGGGTCGCAGGTAATCGATCTCACCTCACGGGAAGAAGACTCCGAGCATATCAAGGAGGAAGACGTGGAAAGCAGTGACGATGAACTGGAGTTGATCACGCCGCAAGATGAAGTGGAAATGATGTTTCCCGATCCAGAGGGGGACAAGACTGCCAAGGGCACTTTTTATGAGATGTCCATTGAAGCTAACGCGGCGGTGGCCTGAAATAATCCCAATGCCAGTTTGTGTTTCCGGGTATATGGACCGACCTTGTAAGCCTTGAGCCATGTTGATGTTGATCGTCGGGCCTGTTCACCATGTATCATTACTATGTACAACCAATCCTTTCACTCTCCGATGTATGACCAGAGATAATCGAATAGATGTCCCGAAGGATATGGCTTATGCAGCATTCCAAGCAGCCCGACGACCCAGAGGATATGCAAGCAGATGTTTGTCGGAGTTGGCCCATAACATAGGAACCCCGTCTGTATGGGTGATCTGCAGCGTCCGGACGGGCTTCTCGAAGACTGCGGCAAAGGGGTTGCTCAAGCCTTTCTGGTCTTCCGGCTCTGACGGGCGCAGAAGCTCGCCGCTCCGCAGGGACCAGCCGCGGATGCGGGAATCGTGGCCGGCGGCGAATAGGAGGTCGCTGGCGGCGTCGATGGCGAAGCCCTTCGTGACGAAGTAGAGTCAGCGAATGGATTCTTGAAGGGAGAGGGAAGAGGGAGGGGGGATCATACCAGTTCGCGCGTGTAGCTGTTGACGTGGCCGGAGAATGTCGTGACGGGCTTGCCGGTGCTCGAGAACCTGAGGTCGAACATCTCCAACTAGGTATAGGCACTCGGTCAGACGCCTCGAGTGACTGTATGCGCACATGTCTCAGAACTCACATCACCGCTGATCCCGTTCACCACCATCCCCCACTCGTCGACGAGCCCCATATGGACGACCGAGCTCCGGCGGTCTTTGTACCGCCCATTCAAGATATCGTGCCCGTGCTGGTGCTTAGGGGTGCGCGTGTCGAACCGGGTGACGGAGCCGTTGCGCGCGCCGGCGTAGACGAGGGCGTGGGATTGGAGGACGGCGAAGACGTCGGAGTGGGTGTCGAGGGTGGTGAAGGACTGGGTGGTTTCGAGGGAGGGGATGTGGATGGCTTTTTTGCGGACGCCTGGGGGGGAGGGTGAGTTAGTTTACAGTGGGGGTGGGGGGGTTGGGAGGGGGACTTACCGAGGGCGAGGCTGGGCCCGTGGAGGTGGGATGTCCAGATGTCTGATATCTTCCTGCAGTCCAAATTGAGGATGAATGATCGTTCTGAATCTGTCACTCTGTAATGGACGAATTAGATTATTGGGCCTTATGAAGGTAGCGGTCAGACTCAACAGGTCTCGCACGAAAATCTTCGGAGATGGTCCGTATGAGGTCGCCCTGATGCAGCATGCAATGAGTCCTGCGCCTAGTCAAAGGAAAGAGGAATATCGCACACGCATCGTGTCTCGTCGATATGAATGGAGGTAATCTGCCATTGCAACTCTGAGCCGGTCTACCTAACACGGATAAACGCAGCAAGATGCTCACGTCCGAGCCTAAGCAAAGGTCCGCTTTCCAAGCGACTCGGCGCGAGTTCAAATCTTCGAACGACCTGGGCAGGTAGCCCACTTGGTCGAAAGCGCCCCATTCCCCGCCGAGCGCGACGGATTCGTACAGCCAACCTTTGTGGTCGCCGGTCACGCAGCGCAGGCGGTCGCCTGCGTCTGAAACCTAAGCTAGCTGTATCAGCTGGTGCGACGAGGGAGGTGACATATACGCATACGCAGAACGAGGAGAGAGGCCCGCTGAGAGAGATGTGGCTGAAGCGGGACGTAGCTGCTACCTGGTCGCACATGTGCTCACTGAGTTGGGTATTAAGAATGCGTCAGATACGTAGCCCCAGACACGCGTAGGGGCAGGACTGACTGCATCCAACGCTGCCTGCATGCGTACGAAGGTCCTGACCGTATTTCAGCCCATAGCGCGGATGGGTTCAGCCGCCTCCTCTTCCTGCTCCTCTGTACATCTTGCGTGGGGTCGTATTCCGCTCTTTTCCTCTCCGAAGCTCCTTGAGACGATACAGCAGTGGGTCGAGGATGGCTGGTGGGCGCCTTGTTTGGTTTGGACGAGAGGGGAAAGTATCGGTTCTTCTCCTCGTCAAAGTAAAACCCCGGCAGCTCGCGAGGCATCAAAGTAAGAGACACTCGATACGTTTGATATCAGGTTCTGTCAGAAAAGCTGCAAGCACCGGTAAGTAATAAAGTATGTAGGGTAAAGTTTGCAGTCAGAGTGGTGGCGCGAGGTGCAAGCTCGCCTATCACGTGACGCACGGATGTCGGATTCTCGATCACATCCCCGATCGCTTTGCCACACTGGGAGGAAAGGAGGAGCTGTACCGGCGCTGCATTGAACTAGCAGAAGTTACCCTACTTTATACAAGCGAAGTAGCAATATAGCGGTCGTAAATACGTATAAAATACAGCCGAAGGGGGGAGATCTGGTGATACAACGATGCGCACATGGATACATACAGGTCTAGTACGTGATGAGAACAGGCCGGAGCGTCCGCGCGAGAGCCAACCGTCCGAGTCCAGGGTTTCTCTGTCTGTCGTTCGTCAATCGTGGTCCGAATCGTAGCAGTCGCACTCGTATCGTATCGCAGCGCGCGGCATGTCAAACAAAATCTCTACAAAAGCCATAAAGTAAACATTTCCACAAAAATTTCAGTTCCAGTTCACGCGCTCCGCTCCGTTGGGGGTGGGGGATGGGGGGTATAAGGGGGGCATAATAAGGATAAGCATTACTCATCTTCCAGGGTTGACTCGTCCTCCCCGTCGTCGTCGTCCGCGTACTCCTCGTCCGAGTCCTCGTCGACGTGCCCGAACACATCCATCTCGAAGCGGAAGTACTGCAGGTCCGCATCTCCGGCGCGGATGCGCTCCGTGTCCGCATCGACGTCCTTGCGCCACACGAGGAACTTGCGCACGGGGCGCCCGACGGACCTGCGGAACGCGATGAAGCGCGCGATGTCCGCGCCCGTCAGGCCCGTCGACTTTAGGATCTTGAGGTTCGGGAGGAGCACGCGCGGGCGCAGCGCGGGGGTGTCTGTGGGGGGCGCGGGCGTCGCGGCGGGCGGAGGTGTGGTTTCGTCTTTGTCTTTGTCTTTGCCCCTAGCTTCGGGCTCGGGCTCGGTCTCGTAGTCGACCCTGAAGAGCTCCTGGAAGAACTGCTCCGGCACGCGCCCAAAATTGACTTCGAGCCCGGTGATCTGCGGGATGGCCAGCAGGAGCTTGCGCCACATGCCCGCGGGGCACTCGAGCGCGGAGATGTGGATGCACTGCAGGGACCTGAGGAGCGCCGTCGCGGGGTCGCTGATGAACTCGATGAACGACGACTGGTCCTCCTCGGCGTCGAGGCGCAGCAGGCGCAGGCGCGGCATGCGCAGCGGGCGGAGGAGGCGGCAGAGGTAGTCGGAGTCGAGGTACGTCAGGGCGAGGTCTTCGAGGCGCTCGAGCACGATGGGCTCGCAGCTCCACGCCGAGTCGACTTGCGGGCCGGAGTAGTGCAGCCCGAGCTTTTCGAGCTCGGGGCTGGCGCGCAGCATGCGCTCCCACTGCGGGTAGGTCGGGCGGACGCTCTCAATGTGCAGGGCGAATTCCAGGGACTTTAGGTTGGAGAAGAACGGGCACTCGTCCCAGACCAGGTTGACGCCGATCAAGGAGATGTTGCGTATTTTCGGGAGGAAGGCCTCGAAGATGCACACGGGCCGCTTGGATGTCGACAAGTAGAGGTTCTGACCGTTGCCCCAGTCCTGATAATGGTAGAGCTCCAAAGTCTCGAGATTCGGGGCAGGCCCGCAAGTGGATAGACGAGCCCGCGCGCCGGCTTTGCAGGAAGTACTACGGACCTTGAGCACAAACGAGCGCCACCGGTGCACTTGCGGCGCGATCACGTCGAACACGGGATTGAACTCGTCCTTGAAGATCGTGATGCCCGGGACATGCCTGTCCTCCGTCGCGGTGTCCACGAGGATGTCCAGCAGCTGATTGCGCGAGCGCTCGATGTAGAGCTGGCCCCGGGTAAGATGCGATACGAGTCGGAAGCGAAGGCGCGTCCAGAGGAAGGGGGTGCGCGTGGCGACCTCGCGCCATCGATGGCAGACGTGCGAGACCAGGACCTCAAAGTCGGGGCCCGACTTGAGCACCATGCCGTTCTCCTTGACGGCGTCATCGTCGCGGTGGCCGAAGAGGAATATCTGGGTCAGGAGCTCGGCGGGGAGGCCGTCGACGGGAGAAGGGGGCGGGGGGCTCTTCCGGCTGGGAGGGAGAAGCTGCATGACAAGCGTTCGCAGAAATCGAAGCACACACTAGTGTCAGGCTCTATGTCCACGCGCGCAGACGGCTGACGGGGAGTACTCGCCTTTACATCCAGACTGGACGCGCCCGAAGCAGCCTGGCTCCTCGCTCCTCGCATGGTGTCTACATGCTGTCAAACGTGTTCATGCGAGTGCACCCAGACAGCGTCAAGCACATACCGGCCTTACCAGGGTTTCGTTGCGATGGATGAGTGCGGACAGCGCGCTGCTGCTACGGGAGGGTTAGGCCTGACGCGAGACGGGCATCCAGGAGGACGATGTGGCGGGCGGCGCAAGGGACGAGGGCAGGGTTTATTATGAGGGATCGGGTGACCTGACCCGGGGCGCTCGTCGACCACGCGCTCGCCCGGAGCCGCACGCGCACGTCCAGGCCTCGCCCGATGCCTTGTCTCACTTTCTGTGCCCTGGGCGGCCACTGCCCCGGGCACTTCCGTCGATCGGGCAGCGTGATGCATCGGGGCGCTCATCTATCCACGAATTGAATTCACTACACAGACACCCCTGTATATGTCCTAGCACGGCCATCTAATCCTACGACCCGCGGCGCTTCCGTGTCCGCATGTCCGCCTGCGCGAGGGCACGGTATATATCCGTCGCCGCCGTGGGTGCCATCTCGAATGCCCTCAATATTGGAGGCACCGCGTCGCGGCTCAGCAGCAGGGCTTCCTCGACGCCTTCCTCTCCTGAGGCCCCCGCCTCACGCACGGGGTCACTCGGCGTCGATCCTCCCGGCGAGTACGCGGACGACGGATCTTGCGGCGCGTACGCCGCGTAGATCGCGTCCAGCTCCTTGCTCGCCTCCGGGACGATCGCGCCCCGCTCCAGCAGCGCCTCCAAATACTGCGACGCTTTCAACGCTGCCGGGAAATCGTTGGCACCGGTACATCCAACGTGTCTGATAGACTCACCTCTATAGTGGTGCCATGCCCGCCAGATGCAGAAGAAGAACGGCAGATTAGGTATAATGGCTGGTGGGAATGCGTCAGGTGGTTCCGTGAACGGCGGCGGGGAACTGGACGTACGTATGATGGCGACCGGGGCTGTCAAGGGGGAAACTAGAAGCCATGTCCATGCGCCTCTTCTATGTCGGGGCAGCCGCTTCGCCACTAGGGACTGTAGGTGCAACAGCGGTGTACCTGTATACGACGGGGGATACACTAGTGGGATCTGGGTCACGCCAGCGGGTTAGATGCTATCCCACAAGCCTGCGAGCATTCCCACCTTTATGCTATCCTTCTCTTCCTCCACCGCCTGACTTGCACTGCCCGGGGCAGTCAGCTTCGGGCCAAGGGAGGGATCGAGCCCCTTCAGCGCGAGCTCCTCAAACTCTATACGGTCCATGATGCGCTCCCCGTAGCGGAACGTCTTCAGCTGTATATGCACGTCACGTCAGTACCTAGACGCGCAAGGGTTCAGAAATCGCGCAGAGTCCCTCAAGCAAGGGCGGGGCACGGGCACGGCAGACGCTCAGTGCTCACCTTCCAGCTGCCCTCCGGCGCCTTGCCAAAGTTCGACCACGCATTCGTGACGGTCCTCGTCATCCACGCAATCGCGCCCTTGCGCGCGGCCTCCTGCACGGGCGGCGTCTGGAAGTGGTAGTAGATCAGCGGGTGCGTGTCCCGCAGCGCGTTCTTGAAGGACAAGGGCTTGCGCGTGAGCGGCAGCGCGATGATGCGCAGCGAGCGGACGGTCTGCACGAGCGCATCCTTGGAGGCTGCGGACATCGAGAACGAGTGGTAGGGAAGGGGTGAGGTCTAAGGATTATAGGGAAGCTCTGAGGTGCGTGTCCTACCGGCGGACGCCATGGCAAATGAGGTCAGTGTGCAGGCGCGGAGGCGTGGAAAAGCATGGGGCCCGGAGTAGACTCGCGGCCAGTCCTGTACGCAATGCACACGCCTTCCTTTTTTGGTTTCGGAGTGATGGAAGGCGTGAGCTTGCGAACGGACTGGTGACAACGGACAGTCACATAGCGGGGTCACAACTTTCCCCGCCAAGCGTGACTCCGACTTAGAAAAATTTGCCCCCTCAGACGTACAAAATCGTCTCTGGCACACATTGTTCAATGATGTTTTTGAAGCGAATGGAGTTGATTGGAATAGGTGAGAAAAGAGGATTTTCTCCTTGAGTCAGTCCAAATTCATCGAAATTTGACCTATGTCAAATGAATCTATGGCCTTCAAAACCTACAATGGTGCAAATCTCCCAAGGCATGATTTTTCTGAGTTATGAGGCTCTCAAATCACGAAGTCCCACTCATAGTTGGCGCGTGTCACGCGCATCCCGCCAAAAGGGCGACCGTAGTTCCCAGCCGCTTCGCAGTGTAGCGAGTAGTACGAGCGGAGCTTGAATTGCGAAGTGGCTGGTATCGAGCCTAGGCCCGGAGGGCCGAGATG